TTGTATAAGTTCTGCTGTCTACAGTACAAAAAGTCTGTGAAAAAATATTTTAACCATATCCTCAAAAAAAGATATTTGATAGAGATACTGAGCCACAGTGTCTTACAAAAATACAGTGTTCCTGTATTTTAAACCGTGTAGCATTTTTGACCACAAACCTTAATGTATTTTACTTGGATTTTATTCAAAGCCAACATATTGTAGGTCACATTTGGCAAGTTGAAGGATAATAATGACAATAAACTCATAAGGATTCCTTTGTGTATTTTTCTTTCTTTCATATATTCAGCTTAATATATAAAACAAATGTTTTCTGTGTCATTTTAGGGTCCTCCAGGTCCACAGGGTGAAAAGGTGAGTACATTTATGTTTTAATTTAAATGCTAATTATCCCATATCTTGTCATTGGTTTTAATGGACAGACCTAATGCCTTTTAAAACACTTAAAACAGTTTTCTAGCTGTGCTAATGCTCAAAAAGGCAAGAAGCCATTTGCCCATTAAGATTAGCTGCTAACATGACTCCAGCCTGAAGTTTATGTTAAATGGTGGAACTTGATTACAGTATTTGCATGCAATGCTGTGCAGCACTGCAATTCTCCCAATTTGTACAATGAGTAGGGGGAGCAGGAGTGTTTAAGAAGGAGCAATCTACAGAGTGGACCCCAGTTAGGGAAAAAGTTTCCTGAGCAGTGCTAATCAAAGCAAAAACTTCAGTTTAAATGGAGAGAAATCACATTTGCTAAAATCTAAAAAAATATAATATATATAAATGAGTACAGTGACTGTCTTGCCTGAGCTATAACAAAGATGTCCAAGGAAGTCCAGTATGTTTCGGGTCCAGAGACGATGTAATTTTGCATCTGCTCCATTTAGCATGTATTTAGGTCAACCTGACCTTAGGATTTTAGTGTTAACATTCCTCTCTTAGGGTCACAAATGCAGAGCACAGAGTGTTAAAAAACCACAGTCCCATGCAAGCTGAAACCCTCAAATGCCTCAATGCGCAATGCTCCATAAAACAACAATGAAGCGTGCAAAATAACCACACAGCGTTTTGACAGCTCTCAAGGTCTTGGGACAGAGAGCAGGTCTGTGGAATGACACAAACATTAATCAAATCTGCAAAATAATGTGGTACAAACTAGGGTTATGTTTACATTTAAGTTGAAAGCACTTCTTAGGACAAAAGTATAAAGGCTTAATGCGCTACTCTAAAGAATTAAAGTAATTAAAAGTTCTTTAACACTTTTCCAGCTATAGATGTATTTGTAGTTGATCATATTTATGACACGTTTCAGATTTTCTCTTGTAAAAAAGCGCGTATATATATGTTTTTGGAGCTATTGTCGCTTTCACTGTCTTTTTTAGCAACTGGAGCAATCGATTAGCATTTTATCCCTATGTACATGCGCGTTCAAGAACGTTGAGATGTAAATGATGCAATGAACGCATGTAAGCATCTTGCGCTCCAATCTATTGCTATCTTCCAGAGTGGGGCATAGCTAGATGCCTCTGCTCCACTAAGGTGCACTCAGGTGCCTGGGTTCTAACTAAGATCCTCCCCTGTTACTGTTTGAGCTCCAAGATGCTACCTCAACTTACCTCTGTTGTTGAGGCAATCCACCCTGAAGTGGCATAGTATTGGTTTCTGATTAAAACAAGGCTCCAAAACTTGCTTTGTAAAATCCAGGTTAAACTTGTTTAGTTAAAAACAGTAAGCAGGAGATACAAGCATCTTTTATTCTATGACCCAGTGGACTAAAGGAGTTGTGCTTATCACACAACANTCAGCTAACCAGTATTTTCGCCCCTTCCCAAAATTACTTCAACGGAAGGTTTCCAGATGGGTATGCGGAGCAAATCCATCTGGTGGAGTCAGGCTACCACTGTTACTGTTTGAGCTCCAGAATGCTACCTCACCTTACCTCTGTTGTTAAGAAAATCCTCCCTGAAGTGGCATAGTATTGGTTTCTGATTAAAACAAGGCTCCAAAACTTGCTTTGTAAAATCCAGGTTAACCATGTTTAGTTCAGTTCAATTTCAATTCAGTTTATTTATATAGCACCAATTCACAACACAAGTCATCTCAAGGCACTTTACAGTTCAACCAGATCATTCAGTCAAATTGATTCAGTTTTCTATCTAAGGAAAACCAGTTGATTGCACTGACTCACTGACTCAAATACAATCCCTCACACTAAGCATGCTTGTAGCGACAGTGGAGAGGAAAAACTCCCTTTTAACAGGAAGAAACCTCCAGCAGAACCAGGCTCAGTGTGAGCGGCCATCTGCCAAGGCCGACTGGGGTTTCAAGGAGACAGAAGTAGAGATACAAAAAGCAGTTATAAAAGGCGGCCACATCCAGGAAACACAGGCATGCAGACGAGCTCCGAGCCAGCTCCCATGAGTTAAAAACAGTAAGGAGGAGATACAGGCAACTTTTATTCTATGACCCAGTGGACTAAAGGAGTTGTGCTTATCACACAACACACAGATTGCTGCTGATATGTCAAGCAAGCAACAGCACCGCTAACTGGCAACTTTCATGTTGGAATTGCACTCAGTTTGAATGCACCTTTAGACAACATTGGAAGACCAAGGAACGACAGGTCAAGGATAAAGTTGAGAAAAGTCTTCACTTCTGTCACTGCTTCTTCTTAAGCAGTTTGTAGAAAGATGCTCCCAGTTTCTTACTGACCAGCATCATAAATCCACACAATGATTTTCTTCTTTTCTTTTCTCTGAGCAAAGTGGCCTGACTCTCACTATCAGATTTTCACAACTGTTGAACATTTGTTTTGAAAGCCATGAACTGTGGGGTCCCGTTGAATAAACTGGTGTCTACTCTTCTCATATAAACTACTTCATCTGCAGTTTAATGAAATTCAAAACAATTGTGTGCTCCCTTTCCCACCCAGGAGGAACAAAGGGTTTGTCTCCTTGGTCATTCGCAACTGTTTTCCCATTTAATTTGGTTTTGGCAAAATAGCTCAATGAAAAATTACAAAAATTCCAAGAACTGTTATTATTTGAAATTGCACAGGCATTGCAGGGAGGTTTGTTTTGAGTAAAATCCCCATACGTGCGTGATAACTCGCTCGTCTTATTACATTTCTGCAGATTGAATCTAATTAAACAAGACAGTTTGAAGATTCTCATTTATCTGATTGTACACCCATTAAGTTTGTCATTTATTTTAAGCATCTATGTGCTTTTGTTTGGGGTTAACTCTAATGTGATAAAGCCACGGTCTTTGGCATGCTGACATGAATCCAAATTTTCTAACCTTCGGAGCCGGCCTCAGTCCAAAGACATTCACCCCCGGTAAAGGCAGACAGCCAGAAGATCTCTGGGGCAAATAAATCTGGCATTAATGCGGTTTCCACCCGCCCCCTCACCAAAACCTCACACCACCGCTCTCCTTCTTCTCTCCTTCTCGCATACCCCATTCATGTCATTCCATGTTATCATAAGTGATTTTACTCCCGACCGCAATGAATAGTTGAGGGTTCCTGTATTATTTCACTTTATCGATATGTTCTGAATTATGCCTGAGTGATTTTGGTCTCAGCTTAATGCTGCATTACTGTGTTTATCCATGTGTTTCTGTATATTTCCCCCTCAGTTCTGAGACAAGTTTTTTTTCTGCTTTTTTTGCAGGGAGATCAAGGTGACCAGGGACCACGGGTATGCATTTTCTCTTCTTTGTGATTAGCAGATGAAAGTGACTGTGTGTTAACCCCCCCCTGCAAAATTGTGGGCAAAAGGTTTGAAATACATGAAATTCCTGGAATAGAGCTTCCAATTTGGCCAAATACAACAAGTATCCCAGTGCTGCTTATTTCCACATCGGTAGGCGGACTTTATAGAAGCTATGGGAGGCTTGCACTGGAGTCCTTTTACAAGGAAAAAAAATGCAGATTTTTACCTCTTGTTGTTGGATTTCATTTGCAGTTTGTCCCTATCAGCAGAAGAGCTCTGCTAAATCGCAGTAATAATCAAATACCAACTCTGTCCTTCTCAACGTGATGCGGCATAGTCACAACTTTAATCATTTCCAGCTCTCTAAGTCTGACATTTCTATAAATGCGCACCTTCTAAATGATGCTAATGTAGGTGCCTTTCCATGCTTGATGCGGTCCGAAACAAATTAGTCTATCTCCGCTGAACAGTCAGCACAGCTTTCTCTTCCCCCCCATTAATGAGTAAAAAATGAGCAGTCCTTTTGAGAAACAGGCTGCACAGGTTTGTTTAAAGTAGACTGCATTAAGAGGGGTCATATGTGCTCATGCATGCACACACTTTCACTTCCTCTGTCTCTGCTGTTGTTCATCAAGGGCAGATTGTATGGTAGTCGGAGTCACTTTGAACGCCTGTAATTGATTTATAATGGGCCAAAGAGCACACAGAGGTTGGCACAGAACGAAAAGAGAATTCAGGAACACAGTTCTTCTTGTCAAGAGAACTCCAGACGTCTCTCAAATAGATCTGATCCCAATTCAGAGCTGGCGCCCACCCAGACGTCAGGAGTTCACCCAAGAACTATGTCGGCTTCCCTCTGGGCTGCTTCAGCTGGTTTTCTATATGATTTGAGTCAGTACAAACAATCCCTTTTCTGAAATGTAACCACTGATCTTCTAGTGGCAAATCTAATGTCTCTCATAGGCTGATTTAGGAAGTTTTATAGCTAACTTTACAACAACTAAAAGTTTTCCAATTGCTGCACAAAAAACAAAACAAAAAAAAACCCCAGAATTTAATTGTTATATTTTTGTTAAACTATATTAATTTTAGCTTCCCAGATATAATGTTCTATAATTATTATGCTGGTCATTTTGTGCTCCTTAGATATTTTATTCTTATGCAGTTTTGGATAATTCATGCCTGACTTTTTAGGGAAAAAATGAACTATCTTCCACCATTCACTTCTTACAGACTGTATCTTATGCAAAACATGAAAACAATGTATAGGAAAATCATTAAGCCATACAAAAAAGTGCTAGTACCCTTTATTTTTTACAAGTTAGCCCAGGCTCAGTCAAATTGGATAGAAGGTGTCTGTGGTGATATATTCTCAAATCTTGTAAAAGATTTTAATTTGTATTTAGGTTTTGACTGAATATGGCTTGATGGTGGACAATAAACCTCCGCCCCAACTTCAAGTTTTTTGCAGACACTTGTGGGTTTTTACTTGGATTTCCATGTAACTACTTCCATCCTTATCCTTACCTGTCCCTGCTTAACTAACCATACTCATAGAATAATGCTTCCTAGGAAGTATACCGGTAGTAACAAAATGCAGGCATGAATTGCCAAAGGACAAATAGACCCATAGCCTAGGTCAATAATTTATTTCCTGATTACCAAAATGGGCAAATTTAGTAGAACCAGCAAGGTGCTATTTGTCTTTAAAATAAATAAACACTTTAAAGATAAGGTTTATTTTCCTTTCTATTACATCAATGTTCTGTATATGGGAACAGATTGACGCACAAGCCACATTCAAAGCATTACAAGGTTGAAAGCCAAATAGGTCACTCCTCAAAAATATAGCTGTTTCTAAGAGCACTATATTGACTTTGTTTATTAGATTAGTGAGTAAATGTAGTGGAGTAACATTTGAACGATTTTTCTTAATTAACGAAGGCATAGCTGGTTCAGAGCTGACCGACCTTCATTCTATCCGGGTGGAAATGAGCCTCATTTCGTGGCTCATATTGAGTCATTGAGCTGATCAGACCCATATGAAAGAAGATAAAGTAAATGAGAATGTCAAGATTATGTCCTGTACTCATAGCGTAGATTATACAGATGCAAGGTTACATCTAAATCATCAGCCCCTCAGGATGAAAGTAAAAGACAAATTCCTGCTTTAACAGCTAAAGACAGTGTGAGAACCGTCCCAGAGTGTGGTTCCTCTGCCTTCTCCCTACATGCCACGGTCAACCGTGTGTCTGCCCAGGAAGGTCACAGGTCATATCCAAAAATGAGAGGTTAACTAAGCAATAATGAAATGACCAGTTTTGAAAAAATAGACGGCCACCTCTGAAGCTGCGCTCGCAGATGTAATTTGTATGAGCTGCTGGCTGCCTGCATCACGCAGTAAGGTGTGTGGTCCTTTTGTGAGGTTTAGCAGTAACCACAACTTTCAGGCAAAGGTTGGGGAAACCCTTTAAAGGTTTATCTTCAAAAGTTATTTTACGTCCAGTAATTATGACATTTCATGAAGCACTTTGAAATACTTCAAAAGAATGACCTTACCTAGGTATGAAAATAAAAACAGTAAAAGTACAAAAAACTTTTAGGTTTTTTTAATCCAGGTTATATGTAGTGGTAATAGTGCTACTATTATAACAAAATATAAAAAAACAACAAAATGATTTAAGGTTATTTGTAATAAAGGTAAATAAAATTTAAAAAGATTGAAGAGAGAACATAAGAATAAAAAGCTGAAAGTCATAGAAAGCTAATAAAAAAGTAAAATGTGTTTGTATTGAAAGAACATTCTGAATACTGGCCAATCAGTGCCAGTTAATACAAGCACGTTTATTGCACAAGAATGATGTACTTTAATGCATAACAACACAAATTTAAAATCATTTGCAGGGCTTTTATTAAAGCAAATACAATGCTTTGAGAGTAGAGTCTTTTTAGACAAGCCAAAGTAAAAAAAATATATAATTCCATCCACTGTTGTAAGATAACACATTTTGTAGCACATCATCCAAATAAACTGAACCAGCAGTGAAGTTGGAAGAGGTTTCATAATGTAGGACTGATTCTCAGTATATGACAATGACAGGCTTCATAATATCCAGTAAAACTGCAATAGAGAGCTTTAGACATTCTTGTTAAGAATCTATGGACCAAAGCAGTTTGGATTTTTTCTTAAAAACATTAAACCGGTTTAAAAGAGATTAAAGCCGCCTACATTTGGTCCACTGCAATCCAGATCCAATTACATTGATAAGGCCTCTAGAACAATCAACATATAAAGGCAGTTTCTGTGGTGAAAATGTGTCAGTAAGTAAGTAAGACAGGAATCTGGTTTCAGTATACAGACAGATTCTTAGAGCCATCACAAAAAGAATATAATTAATTAGGTGTGTAGACCCCTTTTTTCACCTGCATTTGACACAACTGTTTAAAACCTATCTTTTTTTTTTGTACCATATTTTCCAGACTATAAAGCACACCTCACTATTAGCTGCGTTCACTAAATCTTTTGAAAAAACTCGAAACTTACTTATATAAGCCGTACCAGGCTATAAGCCTCTGATATCTACTGAACTAACCAAACCTGTTGGGGAGGTCTACATACACTGAAAAAAGTGACTTTTTGGTGCAGTAAACTCTAGTCTTGTGTGAGTAGGACTAGTACAGTATTCGTCATAATTTCTACTTTTTTTAAGCTTCAGTAAGAACTAGAGTTTCTGAAGTTAAATTAAACCTTTTTTTAATGTAATACATGAATTTTGGGGAAAGAGTAAGTTTTACTTAGATTTCCTTATACTGTTTAAATGTTTAATAGCAGTATGTACATAAACCTAAGAATACTACATAAACTTTAGCTCACAGCAGGACTGATTCTGCTCCCAGTCCAGGCGTTACAGGATCACACACAGAGCAAGAGGTAATCCCGACGACAGTCATTTTGGCAGGGTGCAACAGTACTGCAATAGCCTGTTCGCTGCTCATGGGACTGATATATGCTCTGAACTTAGCATACACTCCCACTTTGCGCTACACTTTTGAAGTCTTCCAATAACTTTTGCTGGAGTTGGATGGATTTAAACTCTCCCCAAAAGTAAACACCCTGAAGTCGAAGTTCTTTTCCTAAATGCGTTCATGACTTTGTCATCTTAGGGTAAGCAAATGTGGCATCAAATGCCAAGAATTAGCAACGGGTTCAAGGTAATATTACTGGAAGGTTGCCTGTCATTAATGTTTTTTATTTTTTGCCAAATAAGGTATGTTATTTGGCAAAAATAAGACATGCCTTCATTCAAATATCTAGTACTGAAAGACGGGGCTTTGTCAGCTCTATTTCAGCTCTGCAGGACTTTAGCCCAGTCTGTTCATTGGTTTGGTAGCTTTAATGCGAAAAATAAATGTCAGAACAAACATTCGTTCTCGCTGTGCCTGCTGCTAGAATGTTCTTGTGCTAAATAAAAATGAGCCCCTTATTTTTTCATTTTCAACTTTGACTGCTACCTCTGGTGGTTCCGAAAAATCAACTGAAAACCTTATTATACGCCAGATAGTACAAAGCGGTGAATAAAAGTAGCGGCTTATAGTCTGGAAAATAGTGTACTTGCTTTGTTAGGCATCTCTTAGACATAAATCTGGGTAAACCTTTGTTGTCCTCTGTAATTTCCAGGAATCTAAAAAATTTTTACTTTTGACTCTTTAAACGATTTAGATACAGGGTTCTGAAGCCATCCTTTACACAACTACTCATAAAATTCTTAGTCTTGGGTCACAATGTTTTTTTGTTTTTTTTGGCGAGTATGATTAGTTAAAAGACTCTGGACTAGTTTCATATCTTTTTTTTGTGTTTACTGTAGATCAAATCCCTGTACCGCAGGCACATATGCAGCAACAGAGCTCCCCACCTAATAACTAACATCCTTTTTGGGAGCAAAGCTAACAAAAGCAGTCTGTAAATGGTTAGGATTTTCTGTCAACCAGTGTGTTATTATCATTCTGAAACATGGACATCAGCATTGCAGCAGTATGAAGAGTGAGCACCAACATGGTTACTTTTTCCCCCCACTTTTCAAATACACAACGGTCAGCAAGGTTGTCAACATTTTCTTGACCTGCCCACAACTTTCCTCCATAATGTTCTGCTTGCATATGGCTCCAAATGATTGGAAAAGTACATGTATCATCTTGCATATACCATACACTGGAGTAAGTGCATTGTCTGTTCCCCCGACCATAATCCAGTTCTTGTTTTTCCCCTTCTTTGTCTTGAAAAATGTTTGAGGTCGTAAATAACTTGAGAAATACTTGTGTTTCGATTCCAGTCGTACACAGCAAGGCTATTGTATCCACTGCTCATTTCTGCTGCAGGCATGAATCAAAACAGCTTGCCTTGAAAGCCATATTCCTAATGAGCCATGCTTTTTGAATTATCTTTGGAAAACCAGAGGGATGGCACAAAACCCATATTTGGATAAGCCAGATTTTTATCTTGAGCTTGACTGCAGATGAAGATTGATCTTTCACAGGGCATGTTTATGAGCGTCTGCCAATCTTTTAAGAAATACTTTCATCTTTTCAGTGGTGGTGAGTATTTGTGGTCTGCCCTAACCTGCAGCATAAGATCACCAAGAGAATATATATATATTCATTATGAAATTGGAATGGTGCACTCTGTGCAGTGCCACTAGAATTGGGATAAAAGTAGTTTGATCAAATCCAGATAAAATCAAATCAAAGTTTATTTATATTACACTTTACAACAACACCAGAAAGACCAAAGTGCTTCACAGAAAGAAAAAGTTTTACAACGTATATTTTTTAAATCAACCATAGTTTGGGATGATTGGCAGTTATGTTTCCATAATACATTAACATGCAAAAATGTTAGGTTTGTCCATAATAATGAATAATTAAATCTGGACAAAATTCAGGAATATGTTAATACATAGCTCTACAGACAGGTTTATAGAGAAATAGATAAATAAATTAAATAACAAAGACAAAATTTAGAATTTTGCCATCTGGTACCAATAGAAAAAATACATTTCCAAATGTCTTCCATTGGGTTAAATTAACATGGAATCGAGTCCCTATTGCTCCATATAAACTAGAGCCCAATTTACACTAGCCTTTTTAAACCGTGCTGAGAAAGATCCAAGCACGATAACTGAGATAACTGCTGAGTGTAAATGGCATGCAACTGAACTGGACCGTGCCAGACATAACCGAACTGGGCTAAATCTATTACTAGTTCAACAGTAGGGCTGGGCATGGTTCAGTTGTGGCTCCGTTCTCTAATAACAAAGAGTGCATGAGCAGACCGTGTCATCTCCTATTTGAAGTCAGCTGAATCATTTTACGGATTTTCCAGCATGTCCGGCATTGTAATTCACAAATCTCTCCACCTTTTCACAATATGAACTTCTTCTAAGACTTCTAACAACAAATTGCATCAAAAGAACGTGGTGCGACCTGGGATGATGCCGAGACAGAGACCTAGAAAAATCAACTGAACCGCTCTCTTATTTTTGTTTTGATTTATGGTTACTTGAATAACAATAAGTCTAAATTTAACAAGAAGGAGCAGCAACAATCTAGCCGAGCATTAAAGCAGGAGTCTGATAAAAAAGCGTCTATATTTATGCTATATGAAGACAAGTGTGTGGACGGGCACTTACTGCAGATTTCTCCCTATTGCCTATCAATGTAAAAGCTTGCAGGTCCTAAAGACTTTCCTAATTGCCTTTTCACATTAATGTACAAGTTTTTCCTAAACCCCACATTCCACTGATTGTCATCGATAATTCTAGGAATACAAGCCAGATTGTTGTCTTCTTCGTGCTTCAGCTGTTTCTGTTCACCCAGTGTTGAATGTCATGTGTGTGTTGTGCCATGTTCTGCTGTTTGTCCCTTTAGGGATTGCCTGGTCTGCCTACGCTGGCTGCTTTGCACAGCAATCAGATCCTGACTGTCAAGGTTTGTCTGTGGTTGTGCTGCCGAGCTGCTTGGTCTGACCTCTTATGAAGCACACACTGGCCATTTCCTTAAAGTTTGATTGAGTATTCACCAGAAACTCCCATCAATTGTTTTCCTTCATGACCGACTTTTGCTACCAGGCTCTCAATACATTTCTGTTCTGTTTTACATAGCAGGTCTTCCACTGAGAGCAAAGGTGGCCTTTTACAGCCTAGTAATATGTAGTTAATTGGAACAAGACTGTATCCTGAAACCAAAACATGGTTTGGCTCATGTCTATTGACATTGAAATGAATGGAAGGAACTCTGAAGGGAATACTCAGTTATGACCAAAAGTGGCTAAATGTTTTTTATAGCTCATGCCCTTGGTTCACCACACAACCTTCAAACCACCAATTTGGCCTCCATAAATGTTTTGCTGATGGCAATGCCAATGGGCACAAGTGTAATAATACATACATTGACAGACATTAGGTATGAAATGAACCTCAACCCAGAAGGTTGACCCATGCTGGTTTCAGTGTGTGCAGCTAACAGGGTTTGACTTGGCAGCAGGCACAATGATGATGGTGGTGCTTTTACAGAAAAGGAGTGATTCGCATGTTTCCAAGAGGGGGGCTGTGAACCCACTTCACACCCCAAAACTGGTAATTATAGACTAGCTCCAAAATCTAAGCCCAGACTTCCGAAACAAGTCAACTTAGTGTTGGAAAAGTGTGGATTTCCCTCCTTCTGTAAAGGCACTGTTTTGGGGGGTTTCGTGAACATGGGTCTCTCTAACAAAATCTGTTTCTCTTTGCATTTGGCTTCCCCTTCTCCTTCTCCTCCTGCTGCTTCTTCTTCTGGGACCTTCTCCTTCTTCAACCTTCTCTCACCTCTGAACTCCGACTTCTTGACCTCACACACCTGTTCAGATGGTCTTCCCAAAGATCAATCATGGCTTTCTTTCCGCTGACCAGCAGCTCATAAAGCGTCGGCTCATTAAGGTAGTGGGTGTGTCCTCTATTTCATCTCTTTGTCCACGGTTCCAAGTGTTACCAAATCATTTCCCTCTGTCCAAAGCATGCAAGCCTATAGGTGCTGTCATACGCAGCCTTAAGCTCTCTTATGTTAATGCAAAATGAAAGAAGAAAATGGCCTTATAGATGCTGGTAAAGAGGAAATGAATCAGTCTTGGCATTGGTAAAATTCATTATGTTCTGCAAGTTAAATTGCTGGATATTTTTTCAGAGTTTCTCGTAATCCGGTACCATAATGGACCACACATTTTTAGTGTTTCTCCCCTGATTATTTAAACCCTTTACTGACAAATCTGACCTTTATCAGACCGTGCTAAATGCATAGTTCTCTTAGGATTGCATGCATCTTAAAGAAATAATACTTTAATTATGACTCATTCCATTAGAGCTCTTTTTCATTGTTTTATACTAGCTCCAAAATGCAATCTTTCCTTCTAGTTATGAATGGAGGTAGGCCATAGCCACCCACAAGATCATTACACAACTTCCTTTACCATTATTTAACTTTAGCTGCTTCTGTCTTCGTAGAATCCAACAATATCACATAGAACTGATGAGGAAATGTGTTATTTTTGTCATACAGGGAGATCAAGGCCAGGCAGGACCACCCGGCCCTCCTGGCCCACCTGGCCCTCCTGGACCTAGAGGTCCTCCAGGAGACACTGGAAAGGATGGACCCAGAGGTTTGCCAGGTCTACCAGTGAGTATCAGTTTTTGATAAGTGGAGAAGTTGCATAAATCTTAACAAAGCAAAAGTTTAGGCTGCATTTCTGAATTCCATTTACTCTAAACCTCTCAATTTCATTGAATGCTATTACACCCTTTATGCCTATGTTTAAGCTCTGTAAATACATTTTAATTGAAAGGTAGGGAAGAAATAATGGTTCTGTCCAGCCTCACTAAAGGCCCTCTAGTCTTAAAAAGTTCACATGGCCTTTGAAAGAGACAACAGCATCACATAGACCGCACATTCATTAATGGTGGAGAGAGGTGCTCTTTCACTTTTTCTTCTTTTTTATCCAGAACCATGTGTTTGAATGTATATTAGTGCAGTCTTCCTCTCATCTAATTAAATGACTTGGTTTAAGTTCAGCCAGAGATGAGCAAATAAATGTATCCATGTTTTCATGGGAAGACTCTTTCCTGGAAGGCATCTGAAACAAGTATTAGTAACAGTATTAAGATACCTAAAGAGGGTATTTGACTTTTTTCTTAGCTATTCTTTATTGCAGAGCTATAACAGTTTTTCTATAAGATAAGATGAACTTAATTGTTCACCTAGCTTAGTTGATCAGAGTTCCAGATTGAACATGTTTTAAATATTGGTCTGAGTAAATATAAGTAGGTCGAGAAAAGCAGCTATCATTTTGTGGCCATTCTCTGACTTATGAAAATCAACACACATCATACTTGAATTAAAGGTTTTGTTGTCTTTCCCATTTAGAAAAAAATAAAATTTTTATTTTATAGCATATATTAAGTTGTACAATTAGTGTAATTGCAATGTTTTGTTTGTTTTTTTAAACAAATATTTTATAGCATTTTGGATTTTTCTTGGCTAGATAAATGTACTAAAATTATGGCTTTCTTTTATTCAGTATAGGATTTTGCAATCGCAATTATAAGCTATAGCCTATTTGTATAAACCTTCTTAAGAAGCATTTCTGGTAAGCATTTTCTTTTTGAAACAAACTCCAAACTAGCTAATTATTTATGCTATTTAAAGATGAATGGTGGTACTAAGAAATGGAGACATCATTAATCTTAGACATGAACAGAGAAGTGTAAAGATATGGTTGGAGCAGTACTAAAGGAAAAAGCAAAGATCTATGAGAGGCTCATTGAATCACCCAAAGTTTGTGGACAAAATCCTGGTGACTTGCATTAGAAAAAATCAAATTTTTTTACTCCTTAGATTGAACCATGTAGTCACATTTGATTCAACTTTAACTATCACTCAGATGGAAACTGCCAGTGGAAGCCTATTTAATAAGGACTGAAAGGACTCCTTGGCCTTATACCCAAATATTTATAGACAAAAATAAATCCCCCAGGGGGAATAGTTGTATTGTTATACATTCTATATTTAAGTTGGCTGAAATGTTCTTGTTTTCAATATAATATATTTCATTTCTTGATGCCTGCCACTGGCTTTTTGCTGGTTTATGTGCACTTGGAGAGAAAGAAGAAACAGAAAAAAGGGTCGGTTATTTTCAGCCATAAAACCTGCATGTTCCAGCTGATCTTTATTGTGTTGGCAGGGATCTCAGCAGGAGCTCAAATATATTAAGAATTGTTTATGTGGTTATTTCCAACTTTTTATGGTGATTGTTTTCAGTTCTTCCTGTAGAAGTTGCTAAACTTGTAAAACTTTTTCCAAGAAGTTACACTTCTCTTTCCAAGTATTTTTTCTTTCTTTTTATTTACACTGTTTAGAAAAACTTTGAGGAAAGATGAGTGCTTTAAATGCAATATTAAAATTTTAAGTATTTCTTATTTTTCTACCAAAATCTAAAGAAAGTTTAAAATTAAAAATAGAAAAGAGAACAAGGTTTTCAGGCAAAGACAGGAGGAAAACATTTGATCCTGTAAAATACAGACGCTCCACCCTGCTACTTAAACTAATAAGCAATTGTAATTTATTACATAGAATCAAACTTAAATCATGTTTAAGTTTCTGCTATTTCATTGATGTTTTTCTTTTTTTTTCTTTTTTAGGGTGATCCAGGCCATCCGGGAGAAACAGGACTCATGGTGAGAACTTGTGCTAGCTTGTGTTAAACCTTTTGTTAATCGACTGGTACAGCAGCTTATCTTGACATAGTAACATGAGGGAGGTCCTAATCGGTAATTATTGTCATGAAACTGCTGAATGTCTTCGGACAGCTGTCTTCCATAAAAATTGTGATTAAAATCTCAGTATTACATGGGTGCTTTCCTTAAAGGGCGGGGTTGTCAAAACTCAGTTCTCCGTGTCGTGTAGGTTATACAGAGTTTCTTTGCTTTAACACAACTGATTCAAATGCTTGCAATTCAGCAAATGCAAATTAATTATCCATTAAAGAAAATCAGGTGTGCTGAAGCTGGAAATTATCTAAGGCAGGGCATACACGGTACAATATATTGAATGGTTGTACGCAGCTACAGCTAAAACTGTACGATGAAGGGCATGCTTCGGTAAAGCAGTCGTTAGCACGCACGACCCATGTTCAAATCCGGCCTGTGGTCCTTTGCCGCATGTCTCTCCCTCTGTCTTATACCCCCTTTCTTGTCTTTCCAAGATCGAGCCACTAGAGCTGCAAAAAACCTAAAAAAAACCCCAAAGAAATTGTACGATGAAATCACAGGGTTTACAAGATCTCGGCTCACGATGTATGCTCTTACAGTGTATGGCCCAACAGTCTAAAGCCACACGTTGGATTTAGCACTGAGAGATTCCGCTGGTTGGACTTGTCAATCTGAAAGAATACTTCAGTTTTTGCAGATGGGCAGTGCATGAGGTTAAGGTAAACCGGCTCGTTGGCGCTCTTAGCACTGCTTCAACACCAGAATATGCTCATGAACGTCTTGCGTCGCCCAACTGAATTTCAAACATGTTTGATGGAGGTTGTCGAAAGAGACTGATTGCCCCTCGTTAGCTCCTGTATACTACACAATAAAAGACGCACAATGAGAATGAAACTCAGCCTGTTCCAAAAATTTTTCGCATGACCTGTGAATTGGTCAGAAAAAGGCGAAAAATCGTACAGTGTATGCACGGCTTAAGACTTGCAGGACATCGGCTGCTGAGGAGTGGCTTTGGAAACCCCTGCACACAGGAAAATATGTATCTTCTGTAGGTATACACTGCAATTTGTATACAGCCCTTTGGTTTTGCAACCAAGCCTGTGACTTTAACGATGTTCTTAATATTTTCCCCAAAATTTAAGTGAAAAATGCTGAAACCCTAGTTAAAAAAAAAAAAAATCGCTTAAAGAAGCAATATTATAACGGAATTTTATGTTAAGTAATTGCAAATAAAATAATCACACTTTTACGCGTAATGGTGAGATATTTAAAGTTTATTTTCTTTTATTTTTGTAACAGGCTGCTACTCTGTTTTTGTATCCCTGTTTTTATAATTTGGGTCAGTATAAGAGAATAAAAGTCCTGATCAGAACATCTCTACTTTATACAGAAAAGCTGAAAAAGAAAGTTTGGCAAAAAAAAAAAAAAAAAAGTACTCTTTATGGTTTTTAAAAGTTTTCATAGTTCCAGCGCATGGCTTCGATAAACGTTTCAATTAAAATTTTATCTGTAGGAAGACGTTTCTGTGGCCTTAGTTTCTGTTAAAGATACGTTTTATGGCAACTGGTAAAATTGTTTTCTCTCTCGAACCCGAACTTATAGCACAAGCTACTATCTGGCTGACAGCAGGTGGAAGCTGCTTGCTGTACTAAGCTAATAAAGCTGTTGATTAAAGTCTCCTCACAAAAGCTAAACTGAAAAGGTCAAAGCAAGCTCTGGAAAAAATTAAAGGAGAACAATTGTGGAAAATTACATGCTGCTGTCGGATATTTACAAAGGCAGGAACGGGAAGTGATCGCAGAGAAAGTGCCTTTTTATCTCCCAGAACATTACCTCTGACCTTTTGTTAAACTCAACAATGACCCTTCAACATTTTTCTTTTTTTTATGTTCCCAAATGTTTTGCTGGCACCCATCTCTACCTGCCTTAATACAGTAGCTGCAAATGGTAGCAACATGTTTGTGAGTCATGAGGGTAAAAATTTAAACTGGAAGGTCCCAGGTGTTGTGTCATGAGTTTGAAGTGCTTTTACAGCTGTTTGGGAAAGCAGCAGCTGGAGTTCCTCTCCAAAATTTCCTCTTGCAGCGCATTGCGCAGAAATAATCACTTCTCACTGTGACTCTTTAAATAAAGCACAGCGTTTCATGAGTAAATACGCTGCATGACACTGATGTACTCTTAACAAGGGATAAAGTCTTCATCTGGAAGCAGGCTCCCTTGCTGTAAATCAGCAGGAGAGCGGCACAAACCAGCTGTTGTTGCAAAAAAAAAAAAAAAAAAAGATACGACACAGTACATTTACAATGTCAGAAGCTCCGTTTTTTTAGTCACACGCTGATTGCTTGCTACTATGTTAAGCCTATTAGCCAGATAAGACTTTAGATTGATATAGGCATTCTTAAAGTTAATTGTTTCTGTCTGTTTTAAGTCTACAGAAAACACAAAAGAAAACTTTACCCTCAAGAATAAACCACTGATCTATCATCATATCTAAGGAATTAAATGTTCTCAAGCATGTGAAGCTGAGGATCAAAAGGATCCTCTGTCATTCAGCTTTAGGTCTGTATTCTGGGGTCAGGACTCAAAAAACATTTACCTTTACATAGTAGTGTAAGAGTAAGGCATCTAATTTGACACAGCAAACTGTTTTAATGTCGATGCCATTGGTAAAGAGGCAAAAGTAGATTCCAGAGTTTTCCAGCAGCCTTTTAGGACATATGGTGCTGGTTAGGGGGATTAAACTCTTGTGGTGCAACAAAGAGAAGGAGGAGGAGGGGAGGTGGCAAGATGACAAAGAAAAGGAAACATTCTCAGGACTGAAAGGTGGAAATCGGTCAGTGCCACAAGCTACTTCTGGGTTAAATTAAAAAGGTGTTCAGCTCTCCCTGAAGGTGGCTTACAGTTTCGAATTCAGTTTTTTGTTGTTGTTTTTTTGTTCCTGGGGATCCTGATTTTACTTGAAAAGATTAAGTAAGCCTAAAATTTTATAATCCAAAAACTGGGAAAAGGACCTTATCTACTATTGTTGTGGTATTATTTCCAGTTTCATCCAGTATCATTCCAAAGTTTACCCACTTAACATTTATTGTTTTTCAAAATGCTTTCAAAGTTATTTTTTAGTTAGTGTTAATACAAAAAGAGATGAAAACAAACAGATTTCAGGAAGAAACCAGTGCATCTGGCATGTAGTATATTCAGTAGTATATTAACTCTCATTAATCCTTTTAAAAGTCATACAAGTTTTCCTTGTTTTTCTTTATATACATTTAAACTATTCGCTTAGATATTTCAGACAACTGTAATAATCAAGTACTGTATAGTGAGGGTTCATTTTCTATTTCACATACACTTTAGAGTCACTTTCATGAATACTCCTAGTGCTCAATTGGTCCGAATTGATGGGATAGCATCACAATGATGCTGATATTTTTTTTAGCACATCCATAATGCCAATCTACCATTCCACCTCTTCTCAAAGGTGTCCAATTAAATGAAATATGGTGCCTCTTTACAACATCAGGGTACATTGAAAATATGGTAAAAAAAAAAAAAAAAAAAAA